CTTCTTTTGCATGTTTCTGTAAGCAGCAAGAAAACAACAGCAACAGGATGTTCAACACATTGCTTGAAAATCTTAGCTAGGTCACCCAGTTCCTCTTCCTGCATTAGCTGCAAATAACAGGCTGCTAAACTTTCTGCCATTACATAACAAGGACCTTCTTTCCTCCAGTTTTTAATGTGGTATTTCTCACTATTCTTTTAGCCTTCACCAGCCCTTAAGACCCAAAATTTCTAGACAGTCCCTCTTCTATACAAGTATTTGACAAACTCCAAGCATCCCAACAAAGGCTTTAGCATTACCTGCCTCAGTGGGACAAGAGTTGGAGATTGAGTTCAACACAGTGAACTGCCTACTAAAAACAAAATTCAGACAGACTTTTTGTCTGTAGAGATAACAGTCTCTACAGTATGTTACTCATACAATAAGAATTACTAGATATGTGAAAATGTAAGCCACATTCAAGAGAAAAAAGCAATACCAATCCTTAGATAAACATTGGAATTCGCAAACAAGAATAATAAAGCCCCTATTATAATTATTCTGAACGATATAAAGGAAAATGTGCTATTAATGGATAAGCAGATGGGAATTTCAGCAAATAAGTAAATCAATTTGAAAATGGGAATTCTAAAACTGAGAAATACAATGTCTGAAAGTAAAAATCCACTGGATAGGTTTAACAGGAAATTTGAGGTGGCAGAATAGTTAATGAAGTTGAATATAGATAGAAATTATTTAATCTGAAACAAAAAGGATTGAAAGAAATTAAAAGGACTGAATAGTGCTGGTGATAATGTCAAAAGGCGACTTGTGATAATGCTTTGTGTTCTCTGATCTTGCTAGATCTGTGGTTTGGTGTTTGTGTTCTTGCTTTTAGAGACAAGGTCTTGCTTTGTCGCCCAGGATGGAGTGCAGTGGCAGGATAATGGCTCGCTCAAGTGATCCTCCCACCTCAGCTTCTCGAGTAGCTGGGACTACAAGTGCACAGCATCACACCCAGCTAATTTTTGTATTTTTTTTAAAGATGGGGTCTCACTGTGTTGCCCAGGCTGGTCTCAATCTCCCGGGCTCAAGCAATCCTCCCACCTTGGCCCCCCAAAGTGCTGGTATTACAGGCATGAGCCACCACACTGGCCTGGTGTATGTCATTAACTTTAGAAAATTCTCAGTCATTATTCAAATATTTTCTCTCCTTTCTCTCTTCCCCTCCTGGTATTCCAGTTATGCATATATTTCACCTTTTGTAATTGTCCCACGGTTCTTGGATATTCTGTTCTTTTTCTTTTTTCATTCTTTTTTTTCCTCTTTGTATTTCGGTTTGGGAAATTTCTATTAACATATCTTCAAGCTCACTCATTCATTTCTCAGAGTGTCTAGTCTACTGACGAGCTCATTAAAGGTAATCTTCATGCCTGTTACAACGGTTTTCAATTGCTAGAATTTCCTTTTGATTCCTTCTTACAGTTTGCATCTCTCTGCTTACATTACCCATCTGTTCTTCTATGTTGTCTACTTTTTCCAAGATGCTTCTCCTTCTGTGGGCTTCCCTAAGAACTCCTTAAATAAAGTCCGTGCCTCGCAGCTTTCTCTGTTGTAATCTACTGTTATTGACCAGAGCCCCATTAGTGTGGCAGTGAGGTACAGTGGGGAGGGAAGCATTCTATAATCTTATTATTAAATACTATTTTTCTAGTGGGTGCGAGTCCTTGGACTGTGATCTTCACAACCACTTCTTAGCCTTTTAAAAATCCTGCCTTACTGAGACAGACAGGCTATAGAGGGACTGGAGCTGGCCAACTGCCTCTCCCCAAGGTCCAACAAGACTCTAGTAAGTAGTTTTCCTTGGAGTGCAAGTGTTTATTATGGAGAATGCTGTAGTTACTTTTCTCTTGCCCAAAAATCTGAGATTTCCCCCATTCTTCAGAGGGAATTTGATAGGGTTTCTGGAGGTAAAATTTATGAAAGTGTGGGAGCCCATCTAAGATTAGGCCCCTGGGAGTTTTTAACTCACAAGTTAACTGACACTAACTTGTGGCTATTCATCAAAATTATAAAATAAAAGTTTCTACCAGTTTATAGCTCCAGTGGCTTCTGCTTCAAGTAAGCTAACCTTGGCTGTAATTTTTTGTATGTTTCTTTCTCAGGATTTTGGGGTGTCAGTTTCCTTTCTAGCTTCAGTTCTCTGATGGATCTAAGAAAAGTTGACTTTCAGTTTGTTGAATGGTTTTGTTGTTGTGAGGATGGGAATGAAGGCTTCCGAGCTCTTTATATGCTAGAACTAAAATGAGAATATTATCATTTTTATCCAATTCAGATAACCACAATAGTTACAAGCTCTAAGATGACATTTGCTGTTTCATAGAGAAAGTATCTTCACAGCTAGACTTCGCTTTATTATGGTGTTTATGATGTCTGATGTAAACTGGATCCAGGAGTCCAGTCTAGATGTCACTGTGTGGCCTTGAATGATTAAGTGTGACTGGGTGAGTTAATTTCTGGTGAGCCAGTATCTATGATGCTGTGTCTTGGTCAGCTGCGGCTGCTAAAACAAAGTATCATAGACTAAGTGACTTGACTAAGAGACTTTATTTTTCAAAGTTCTGAAGACTGAGAAGTTAAAGTGCTGGGACATTCAGTTCTTGGTAAGGGCCCTGAGAAGTTAAAGTGCTGGGACATTCAGTTCTTGGTGAGGGCCCTGTTGGCTTGCAAATGGGTTACATCCTGCTGTGTCCTCACATGGCCTTTTCTTGGTGGTTGTGTAAACATGGAGACCTCTCCTTCCTCTTTTTTAATAACTGCACTGACCCCATCATAAGGGCATCACCCTTATGACCTAATCTAAATCCAGTTACCTCCCCAAAGTCCCACCTCCTAACGTCATCACATTAAGGGTTAGGGTTTCATTATATTAATTTTGGGAGGACACATTCAGTCCATAACATGTATCATGGTGCGGCTGGCAATGCTAGATTTCATGATTTCCTAAAAAAATAAAAAACTAAGTACCTACTATGTGCTGTTTTAGTCACCGAGAATATAACCCTGAACAGGATGTAAGCTGTGTGCCTTCTCGGAACCCTCCTTCTAACAGGGAGAGATAAAATGGGGTCGAGGGAATGAGAGGCGTATCGTATATCAGAGAGCGGTAACTAGTAGACATGAAATAAAACAGGTTCCACACGCGCACCATCAGAAAGTCACAAGCGTGCAAAGCAGACAAATCCAAATCTCTTCACTTTTGTATCCCGTAGGCCCCGCACGCGCCCCAAGCCCCGCCCTATCATGGTTTTCTCTCCTGAGGTAGCCGCTACGCCTTACCCACTGCGTTTCAGTGCTGTCCCACTGCTCCTGCACACCCCACGCCTGCGACCATACCCACCACGGACGGGCGCTCCTGCGAGCTGGAAGTCAGTTCCCTGTGCCCTGAGTCTGGCAGCTGCATCTGAACACTCGGAGCCTGGCGATGGCTTCCCGAAACCCCTGCGCCGTGATTCGCTTCAGTGAAGCGGCCTGTACTTCGGCAACCCAGAGTCCGGGCTGAGAGGGCTCCTAATCCAACCAGGAGGACCAGGAGAGGCCCAAAAGAGGACACAAGGCAGTAGACGCCAGGCTTTGAGAGCAGCCGCTCCTCGCAAAGCCGGAGCCCGCTTCCGGAACGCTGCCTCGGTTCGGGACTACACTTCCCAGGGGCCATTGCGGCGGAGGACGCGCCTACTTCCGGAGAGGACCCGAAGCCGGGCAACCGCGCGCCCCGTCGGGTGCTGAGGGGACGTCACCTTTATTTACGCAGCCTTTATTAGGCTGGGGTCCAGATCCGCTCCGCGTCACCAGGGCGATCGTATCCCACAATCCAGCCCCAACCTC